GTCTGTACACCCAAGCGGAGCATTATTCCTAATTAAATCCCGGGGATGTGTGCCATTAGCAAGATTCATGCTCGGCTTCAGGAGCGTTCATTCCGGCTGTTGACTATCCATTGATTATTCATACACAATCTGATTGGAGCTCATTAATGGAAGATAAAGTGGGAGGCAGATTCGGTGAGCGCAGGCAGCAGAATGATGGTGGTCCTATCGAACACTAGAGACATGGAATGGGACAGAATGGGGGGGGGCCTTAATATCAGTGTATTTATACCGCTGCATCACAAATGGAGGGTGGGTTTTTGTTTAGGCAGTTTGCTAAGCATTCCTAATTATAGCATGCACCAAAAAAAATGTATGTTCTCACTATTATATATTTATTTTTCCCTAAATGTATACATTTATTTCCTGTAAAATAAATATATAGCAATGTTATAATATGTTTAAGTTAACTCTTATTACTCTAAAAGTGACTAATTTAATTAATAACTATAAGCTAGCTACGGGTAAAATGGATTATGTTGTAGCATTTGAAAAAATAACTAAATTCTTTTCAATTTATACCAGTTAAAGCAGAAGATTGAATTGCCAGCATTGTGTAAAAAATAAAGTTATGAAGTGAACAGAACATTATTTTTTATCAATCTAAAATACAATTATTTCTTTTAAAGTGTATTTACATTATTTATTTTTGCCCACAAACGTGAAATTTTCCAATAATGTCACATTGATAATTACTATTTTTTTCACAGTCCTATGTCTCATGTCACTATTTTTTATTTAAAAATTCCATTTTATTACTAATATCTATTTTATTTCACCACCTTTTATCTTTTATCCTTTCTTGTCATTTTAACTCATAAAGTACTTATAAAGGTCCAAGTTCTATCTCCAATTTTGTAACCTTGCTACATTATATATAATGTAGCAAGGTTACAAAATTTGTGTAATTATTCTATTTGTCAATGGACCAACAATAAACAAAGACCTGTAAAAAAAAAATTAAAAAAATTAAAAAATCAGTTTTGCTGTGCCAAACTAAACTCTGTTTATTCAAATAAGTTTCCCATAATTGCATAAACCCAATAAAATGTTCATTATGTTTACTACATTTAAGTGAACTCTCTGCTTAGTATATAATGTTTGTTTATTTTGCACTACGAACTGTGTGATGGATGAAGAAACAGCAGGAACAGTTTGACAAGGGCTCCTCCACATGGTAAATCAACGCTACTACAATGACAGGTAAGCAACTGTATTCCTGCATTGCTACTGAATGTGAATTTGTTACGTGTAAATGAATGGTTACTAGAGCAAGTTTCTTTTAAAATAGTCAGTTCAAAATATAACACCTGACGTGTTTAAATGGATAATTAATAAAGGTTTTTTAAGGTAAAACAAAGAATTCAACCTGTTTAATAATGCAAACAGCAAGAGTCCAGCAAAACTTTTACATTCCATTCCATTACAAACACAATCACTGCTCCACCAATAAATATAATCAGACCTGCCAAGACATTCAGCTCTAATGAGATGAAACAGTGAGCCATGCTTGTTTGGACAGCAGTTTAGGTGGGATGGCCTGCATACATTCATCAGAGCAGAGGGTGCTTTATTGGGAATTCATTAATCACTACAGACCTCATTATAAATTGATCGCATGCTCATACAAGATGAAGAGGCCTGTCTTGCATTTCTGATCAGTAGGGGAGGGCTGATGGGGCCTAATGATAGTATCTGACAGAGAGACTCTGAGATCTGCTTTGATCCACTATCACAGAGCTGGATGAGAATCCTCCCCTCCACACACCTGCCACATGCAGTCATTACAGAACAAACATCAGGAGTCCGGCCCTCAATGCAGCAAGTGTACTTTCCCACACCAACTCATTTGATGAATCTTACTAGATTCACTGACTTTTCTAGGTCCTTTTGTTCATTATTTGCTGATGTAAACTTCCCGTTCACAGCCTTAAAATGTAGTTTGCCACATATGTGCATTGTGCAGGCATGTACTGGCCCAGCACCGCCGCTCAGAGTACGCAGTTTGCGTAGGGCACCAACTCCCAGGGGGGCACCATCCCAGTTGCTGAAAAAAAAAAAACTTTCGTTCTATATTAATATTAACATATACATACATAAAAATCTAAACATTATATATATCTGCGCATCTGCGCCCGCGCTCGCTCTCACCTCATGTTTGCGGCTGTATAATGATCATCATCATAATTAATGGACAACTAACGTTAGGCTATATCAGAGAAAAGACATCAGCGCAGTCCGGCGCAGAGAAAAGAAAAATAAAAAAGCCCAAGATGAAGCCCTTGCATCACTTTCAGGTAGCTATACGTTCATAATCCTGTGAAACTTTTTTGACTGTTGATGGTAGTAACGTGTTTTAATGTCGGTAATAATGTCACCACCACCAACAACGCATCTGACTTAATATTCTAGTTTTCTGTATTATATAAAAACAATGAGGCAATAATGATTGGTTAATTAATAATAATCATATGGTTTAATTGAATAACACTGTAAAAATACATAATGTAATACAAAATAAACAATTTGCATTATTACAAATGCCTGCAAAGGGCACCAAAGGCCCGATCATTACTGTTGTTACACTTACAGGACGATCAAATCCTTGTTTAATATTGACCAAACATTTAATTCAACTATCCACTTAATTTTTAATTTTTGGCCACCTTTTTGCTATAGAAATGCTACAACCTCTTTAATTTCTTCAACAAAAAACATGTGGACATCACAACCCTTACCAAAATTAACCATGGTTTTATCGTAATAAAACTGCTTAATTTTTATTTTTTGTGATTTCTGAATGCTTGAGACTATAAAATCAATCAGACAACGGTAGGCCTCTTCATAAAATCATAGCCATCGGTAACTGCCCAGATAGCAAACTGACATAGAATCAACGTAGAATCGACGTTTCCCGTGGCGTCGAAACAACGTTGATCTCCGACGTCGATCCAGCATCGTTTTGCTCGTCGGGGTCACGTTGATCCAACGTCAGGCACGCCATTCTCAACTAACGGAAAATCGGCGCAATTGGTTTGCTTACCCAACGTTGAATCGACGTTGATTTTCAGTTGGTTGAAACGACGTCACAGAATCAACGTAAAATCGATCTCATTGGTTCACTTACCTAACGTTAAAACGATGTTGATTTCATTTTGGGTAAAATGATGTTACTCTTAACATTGTCAGCTTGTTTTAAAAATCTCACATACTTAATACTAGATAAATTAGCCTGTATATGTAATAATTTATTAAACACACATCACAACAAATTAAAAGCTATATTCACTTAAGAATAAAAATATCATGTTATTACCAATGTGTTTCACTTTTATTTTCAGTGGGGCACAAAAGGAGATGCAAGGCAGAACATTAAGAGACTGACAGCCTCAGTCACTGTTCACTATCATTGCTTTATGACGGAGACTGTCTCTGCTTTTGTGTGCCACAAAATAAAGACATATGGGTGAGAAGATGATTTATAAAGAAGACAGAGGTACATAGCAGATGAATCGGTTTTCATTTGCAATTAAAACTTGAGTTCTTTGTAATATCAGGGATGTGAACTAATCAGGTCAGGTTTGAAAAAGGTGATGATGTAACCCACAATTAAATATCAGACAAAGACAATAAAGTAAATTTTTAGTTGCTTTTTTATACATGTCATATCACTCCATTATTACATTTTCTCTAAAGTTGTGAAGTGTTTGGGGGTGATTTTTTTTTTGATGTGCCTCAAAAGATTATCTTTTGTATATTTTCATATAAAATGGCAACTCTTTGGATCTACACAAATCACGTAAATGATATATTTTGGATTCAAAATGACAATTTTTACTTAAAGGTGATAAGTTTGTATCCCCTGAATATTCAGTTGTTAATGTCCCTTTGTTATATTTGCATACAGTACATCTATTGTACCCAGTATTACTGTAACAAAACCAAGCACGTGACAGTGGAATTTGTATTTGTAGAGAATATTTCAGTAAAGTCATCAAGAAAATGTTTTTGGAGTTGCAAGCTTGTATTTTGTTTCTTTCTCTCTCACAAACTCAACAAAACCTTCTCAAAGTCTTCATTGGTGCATAAATCCTATTCTACAAATCGCAAATTAAGAAATTCACAGGCTCAGTTATACCAGATTTATGTAGGGCTGTATTTCATTTTGGTCATATTATTGAATTCTTTTTTCCTGAAATGTGTGTTTATTAGAACTGGACATATTTATTCGACTTTATTAGAATTTAACTGTGGTATTTGTAGATAAAATCATGGTTAATAATAATAAATAAAAACGTATGTGTACTGTGCTAGACTAAGTGAGATCTAACCTAACATTCGTGGTCAGAATTATTGGCACCCTTAGTAAATATGATCAAAGAAGCCTGTAAAAATAAATATGTACTGTATAAAATGTCACAAATCTCCCTGGAAGAGGATGCGTGTATATATTGTCTTAATACAAGGTGAGGAGGATAATTTGAGTGGCCAAAGACTTTCCACAAAGATCTGTCAGGTGATCTCCAAACTCATCAGGCATTATAGGAGAGACTCAGAGCTGTTATTGTGGCAAAAGGAGATTGCAAAAAGTACTGAATAAAAGGGTGCCATTAACTGTGGCCGATGTGTATAAGAGAAAAACATTTATTTCCTAATGAGCTTCCCCCCACCCCCTTTTTGATCTTTTATCAAAAAGGATTAATGATGCAGATTTATTTTCACAGGCTTCTTTGTTCATATTTACCAGTAATTCTGACTACGACTGTATAACCTATGTAAATGTGCAAAACTTGCTCATAAATTTACATTTTTGATTCGAGTGTGTGAATGTGTTTTGCCCCACATTCTCTTTAGCAACGCTACCCTAACTGTGAGCACACGAGTTTCTTAATTTGTGATTTGTAGAATAGGATTTGTGCACCTCAGAATTTGAAAAGGTGTAACCGTTGTGTTGTGTTGTGTTTGTTAAAGAGAATTAGTACAAAAATTTAAAAAATTGCAAGTCCTAAAAAAACCTTTTTCTCTGTGACTTCAAATTTACCAATATGCATGTCTGACTATTCATTACAACTACAAATTCCACTGTCACAGTTGCTCAGGTTTGCTATAATAATACCTTCACAGAACATGGTAGTAGTCAGCCATCCGCGCAAAAGCTTAGGTCAGTGTGGTGTACTGTAGGTACAGCTGTCCAGGCCAACATCTGATGTGCTGATGTCCTCAACTGTCATCCCAGAAAACCTGCAATAAAAACAGTACAGTTCAAAATTCATCATACATTACCAATATAACAGGGCTGCCCAATCCTGTTCCTGGAGATCTACCTACCTGCAGAATTCAGATCTGACCCTGATCCAATAAAACCGTCTGTAATTGTCGTCTGCCCGTCTGCTTTCATTGATGTGGTGTGAAGTAGATTTGTTCACAAGTTCCTCCCTGAAAGTACATCAATGACACAATAAAACTGTATTTTCGTAGAGGATCATTTAATCAAGTCACTATATTACTTTTTAAATGATCTCATTAATAACTTTGTTAAATAATATTAGCATTGCTAACAGGCGAGTGCTTATGAGAAAGGCATGCAACAGCTTTTTAGGTTCATTTACAGTCATTTACATTTGTATCATAAATACATACTGAGTCCCAAAAGTGCTCTTCAGTAAACGTGGTAAAAAGATGTCCAAACTGATTAATATTTTAATAGTAGTAGAATATCAAAATTACAAAAATGCCATCATGAGCTGTTTGAGTGTAAACAAATAGAATAGAGAGGGACAGAACACAGCTAAACCCTCCATCTAAATCTTCAAGTCAAAGGGGTACTAGTTATATTTAAAAGTTTGGTATCGAAAACAAGTTCCATTTTAAAACCGGTTCCCAATTTCCAAAAACCGGGTATTCGATAAGACGCGTGCATTTCAATTCTGCTTGACGATTCCTGCGTTTGCATTTTAATGTGATTTAAAACGATTTAAGTGCAGGAACGGAAAGAACTTGCGCCCCGTTTACGTGCAGCGCACACGAAGCGCAAATGTGAGCACAGAGAACAGAG